CAAGTGAAGAGATATGCCAGGTATAGAACAGACACTACTTACTCAGGTCTGAGAGACAAGTGAAGAGATATGCCAGGTAAAGAACAGACACAACTTACTCAGGTCTGAGAGACAAGTGAAGAGATATGCCAGGTATAAAACAGACACTACTTACTCAGGTCTGAGAGACAAGTGTAGAGATGTGCCAGGTATAGAACAGACACTACTTACTCAGGTCTGAGAGACAAGTGAAGAGATATGCCAGGTATAGAACAGACACTACTTACTCAGGTCTGAGAGATAAGTGAAGAGATATGCCAGATATAGAACAGACACTACTTACTCAGGTCTGAGAGACAAGTGAAGAGATATGCTAGGTATAGAACAGACACTACTTACTCAGGTCTGAGAGACAAGTGAAGAGATATGCCAGGTATAGAACAGACACTACTTACTCAGGTCTGAGAGACAAGTGAAGAGATATGCCAGGTATAGAACAGACACTACTTACTCAGGTCTGAGAGACAAGTGAAGAGATATGCCAGGTATAGAACAGACACTACTTACTCAGGTCTGAGAGACAAGTGAAGAGATATGCCAGATGTAGAACAGACACAACTTACTCAGGTCTGAGAGATAAGTGAAGAAATATGTCAGATGTAGAACAGACACTACTTACTCAGGTCTGAGAGACAAGTGAAGAGATATGCCAGGTAAAGAACAGACACTACTTACTCAGGTCTGAGAGACAAGTGAAGAGATATGCCAGGTATAGAACAGACACTACTTACTCAGGTCTGAGAGACAAGTGAAGAGATATGCCAGGTATAGAACAGACACTACTTACTCAGGTCTGAGAGACAAGTGAAGAGATATGCCAGGTATAGAACAGACACTACTTACTCAGGTCTGAGAGACAAGTGAAGAGATATGCCAGGTATAGAACAGACACTACTTACTCAGGTCTGAGAGACAAGTGAAGAGATATGCCAGATGTAGAACAGACACAACTTACTCAGGTCTGAGAGATAAGTGAAGAAATATGTCAGATGTAGAACAGACACTACTTACTCAGGTCTGAGAGACAAGTGAAGAGATATGCCAGGTAAAGAACAGACACTACTTACTCAGGTCTGAGAGACAAGTGAAGAGATATGCCAGGTATAGAACAGACACTACTTACTCAGGTCTGAGAGACAAGTGAAGAGATATGCCAGGTATAGAACAGACACTACTTACTCAGGTCTAAGAGATAAGTGAAGAGATATGCCAGGTACAGAACAGACACTTCTTACTCATGTCTGAGAGACAAGTGTAGAGATATGCCAGGTATAGAACAGACACTACTTACTCAGGTCTGAGAGACAAGTGTAGAGATGTGCCAGGTATAGAACAGACACTACTTACTCAGGTCTGAGAGACAAGTGAAGAGATATGCCAGGTATAGAACAGACACTACTTACTCAGGTCTGAGAGATAAGTGAAGAGATATGCCAGATATAGAACAGACACTACTTACTCAGGTCTAAGAGACAAGTGAAGAGATATGCCAGGTATAGAACAGACACTACTTACTCAGGTCTGAGAGACAAGTGAAGAGATATGCCAGGTATAGAACAGACACTACTTACTCAGGTCTGAGAGACAAGTGAAGAGATATGCCAGGTATAGAACAGACACTACTTACTCAGGTCTGAGAGACAAGTGAAGAGATATGCCAGGTATAGAACAGACACTACTTACTCAGGTCTGAGAGACAAGTGAAGAGATATGCCAGATGTAGAACAGACACAACTTACTCAGGTCTGAGAGATAAGTGAAGAAATATGTCAGATGTAGAACAGACACTACTTACTCAGGTCTGAGAGACAAGTGAAGAGATATGCCAGGTAAAGAACAGACACTACTTACTCAGGTCTGAGAGACAAGTGAAGAGATATGCCAGGTATAGAACAGACACTACTTACTCAGGTCTGAGAGACAAGTGAAGAGATATGCCAGGTATAGAACAGACACTACTTACTCAGGTCTGAGAGACAAGTGAAGAGATATGCCAGGTATAGAACAGACACTACTTACTCAGGTCTGAGAGACAAGTGAAGAGATATGCCAGGTATAGAACAGACACTACTTACTCAGGTCTGAGAGACAAGTGAAGAGATATGCCAGATGTAGAACAGACACAACTTACTCAGGTCTGAGAGATAAGTGAAGAAATATGTCAGATGTAGAACAGACACTACTTACTCAGGTCTGAGAGACAAGTGAAGAGATATGCCAGGTAAAGAGCAGACACTACTTACTCAGGTCTGAGAGACAAGTGAAGAGATATGCCAGGTATAGAGCAGACACTACTTACTCAGGTCTGAGAGACAAGTGAAGAGATATGCCAGGTATAGAACAGACACTACTTACTCAGGTCTGAGAGACAAGTGAAGAGATATGCCAGGTATAGAACAGACACTACTTATTCAGGTCTGAGAGACAAGTGAAAAGATATGCCAGGTATAGAACAGACACTACTTACTCAGGTCTGAGAGACAAGTGTAGAGATATGCCAGGTATAGAACAGACACTACTTACTCAGGTCTGAGAGATAAGTGAAGAGATATGCCAGGTATAGAACAGACACTACTTACTCAGGTCTGAGAGACAAGTGAAGAGATATGCCAGGTATAGAACAGACACTACTTACTCAGGTCTGAGAGACAAGTGAAGAGATATGCCAGATGTAGAACAGACACTACTTACTCAGGTCTGAGAGACAAGTGAAGAGATATGCCAGATGTAGAACAGACACTACTTACTCAGGTCTGAGAGACAAGTGAAGAGATATGCCAGATGTAGAACAAACACTACTTACTCAGATCTGAGAGACAAGTGAAGAGATATGCCATGTATAAAACAGACACTACTTACTCAGGTCTGAGAGACAAGTGAAGAGATATGCCAGATGTAGAACAGACACTACTTACTCAGGTCTGGTGGCATTCTCTTGTTGCACTTTACTGAAGTAGTCCTCTTTGTGCCTCTTCACGTGATCACTGCAACAGGCCAATATGTTTATAATACTTTACTCAAATGTTTACCCAGATGTGAATCATCACTCAATAATCTCATTACAATACTATTTACATTTACAAATCTCATTATCTTATCATTTACACTTAGTTTCATTAAGTTATCATTTATACTCAATAATTTCACTAGGCTTTTGATAATTTCACTATTAACAAGTGATCTGCAGATCAGGTAAAATGTTAGCAACAGTGATACACTGAGCAAGTAAATTGTTAACAACAGTGATACACTGAGCAAGTGAAATGTTAGCAACTGTAATTCACTGAGCAAGTGAAATGTTAGCAACAGTGATACACTGAGGAAGTTTAATGTTAGCAACAGTGATACACTGAGCAAGTGAAATGTTAGCAACAGTGATACACTGAGCAAGTGAAATGTTAGTAACAGTGATACACTGACTGAAATGTTAGCAACAGTGATAGACTGACTGAAATGTTAGCAACAGTGATTGACTGACTGAAATGTTAGCAACAGTGACACACTGAGCAAGTGAAACATTAGCAACAGTGATACACTGACTGAAATGTTAGCAACAGTGACACACTGAGTGGGAAATATTAGCAACAATGATATACTGACTGAAATGTTAGCAACAGTGAAACACTGACTGAAATGTTAGCAACAGTGACACACTGAGTGTGAAATGTTAGCAACAGTGATATACTGAGTGTGAAATGTTAGCAACAGTGATACACTGACTGAAATGTTAGCAACAGTGATACACTGAGTGGGAAATGTTAGCAACAGTGATATACTGAGTGTGAAATGTTAGCAACAGTGATACACTGACTGAAATGTTAGCAACAGTGACACACTGAGTGGGAAATGTTAGCAACAGTGATACATTGAGTGGGAAATGTTAGCAACAGTAATAGACTGACTGAAATGTTAGCAACAGTGACACACTGAGCAAGTGAAACATTAGCAAAAGTGATACACTGACTGAAATGTTAGCAACAGTGACACACTGAGTGGGAAATGTTAGCAACAATGATATACTGACTGAAATGTTAGCAACAGTGACACACTGAGTGGGAAATGTTAGCAACAGTGATACATTGAGTGGAAAATGTTAGCAACAGTGATAGACTGACTGAAATGTTAGCAACAGTGACACACTGAGCAAGTGAAACGTTAGCAACAGTGATACACTGACTGAAATGTTAGCAACAGTGACACACTGAGTGGGAAATGTTAGCAACAACGATATACTGACTGAAATGTTAGCAACAGTGATACACTGACTGAAATGTTAGCAACAGTGACACACTGAGTGTGAAATGTTAGCAACAGTGATATACTGAGTGTGAAATGTTAGCAACAGTGATACACTGACTGAAATGTTAGCATCAGTGATACATTGAGTGGGAAATGTTAGCAACAGTGATATACTGAGTGTGAAATGTTAGCAACAGTGATACACTGACAGAAATGTTAGCAACAGTGACTCACTGAGTGGGAAATGTTAGCAACAGTGATACATTGAGTGGGAAATGTTAGCAACAGTGATACACTGAGTGGGAAATGTTAGCAACAGTGATACATTGAGTGGGAAATGTTAGCAACAGTGATACACTGACTGAAATGTTAGCAACAGTGACACACTGAGCAAGTGAAATGTTAGCAACAGTGACACACTGAGTGGGAAATGTTAGCAACAGTGATACACTGAGTGTGAAATGTTAGCAACAGTGATACATTGAGTGGGAAATGTTAGCAACAGTGATACACTGACTGAAATGTTAGCAACAGTGATACACTGAGCAAGTGAAATGTTAGCAACAGTGACACACTGAGCAAGTGAAATGTTAGCAACAGTGATACACTGACTGAAATGTTAGCAACAGTGACACACCGAGCAAGTGAAATGTTAGCAACAGTGATACACTGAATGAGTCAAATGCTAGCAATGTTATTCAAGAGCTGACACAACCACCAACCTTGGTAAAGAGTCATAATCTTGATAGCCAGGGTTGTATGCTCCACCCAAGTTGCCCAGACTGCTGCTGCTGTGAAATGCCCCACTGTCACCAGACGCAGACTGACCAGACGACAGGCAAGAAGCCGATGATGAGGATGCCAGACGGGATGGCTGGAATGCTGAATAAGTTTGAGCTGATGACATCTCTATACTCCAGGATTTGCCTTCTGCCAGCGTTGCTACCTGCAAGTACCAGGTTTGTCTCAGATCAACACTGTTGCACCACGATATTCCACCTTATCTCTCAGTCTGGCTAATCATACACAATAAATGTACAACCGCAAAAGGTCACATAATCTCACCTTTTCTCTCAACCTGCAACTCCCACACAATAAACATTGTTATACCACCACATGATCTCACCTTGTCTGTCAACCCACCAGTCACACACAATAAACATTGTTATACCACCACATGATCTCACATTTTCTCTCAACCTGCCACTCCCACACAATAAACATTATTGTACCACCACATGATCTCACCTTGTCTTTCAACTTGGCTACACGCACACAAAATAAACATTATTGTACCACCACATGATCTCACCAGGATTTCAAGAGGCTGAACACTAACAGACGATGCTCCAACTGCACAGGCGCTAACAGTGCGAGGTATCTGGGATGCCCGTACCTCAAAGACACGAAGAGAGGAGTGTCCAGTGCCGTAGCAAGGAAAGAGCAGAGGTAAGAGGCGTCCCGACCCACCAGACCGTATGTAACAAACCAACTGAGAAGCCAGCCTACCCTGCCGTCAAAAGACCACGACCTAGTGCAAGCAATTTTCGAACCGAGATTTGAACTGAAGAAGGAAAAAGCCGCTGCCGCCGCCAAAAAAACTGAGACGCATGAGTTAATCACCCTAATGCTGAGAGAAATAAGTGCCCTGAAAGAGGACAGAACAGCCTACGAAGCACAACAAATCTACAACAAGAAACAAAATGTAGAAACTAAAGAAAGCATCAAGGCATTAATCGCAAGTTTGGCAGTGGCACAGGCAGCAGACGAGACGCAGACAGGAGGAGAGGGAGGAGAGAAGCAGAGAGGTGGCCGTGCTGAAAGAGGCGAGAGAGGAAGCCTACAGAGAAGTCACCTGACTTGTACAGGCTAAGGCAGAAGCAGGAGCGGCCGAGATGACAGCCAGAACAGAGTGCACCTGGTTACAGAATGAAAGAGAGAAAGCCGCAAAGAGGGCTACCAAATCCACTCCCCAAAAACTAGAATACGCCGGCAAAGCCTTACTGAGCAGACAAGACGCAACAGCAAATACCCTAACTTAGGGCGAAAAATTATCGCCACACAGAATCGAATTCAATCAGATAGCAAAGATCTCCCCCCGTGTGGGTTCCGGGGCTCCATTGTGGGGAAAACAAGAATAGACCCACTGCCTCCCCAAAAGCATGTCGTAAGAGTTGACTAATTGGGGAGCTTCTTTTGAAGTCGGAGTGCATCTGCCGGAGAGGCAAGGAACCAACAGACTGTATTCAAGAGAATGAGATCTGTAAAACTGATGCACATGCAACACTCAGGTTCTGGAGCAGGACTGCAGTTCAGTAGTGGACGAGCAACCAGAACTTTCCGCCAGAGTGTACAGCTGGTGAACGCGAAGAAGAAGAAGAAGAAGAAGAAGATAGCAAAGAAACCGTCCTCAATAAAGCAGGCCTTCGGGTAGCTAAAAGAGGACAAAGTTTGACATTTTTGTTTGGTTTCTACGATTACGATAGGGAAACAGACTGCCACCAGCAGGCCACAGCTGTCCTAAGCCTCGAGACAGGACTTTGTGGCCAGGTGCTTTGATTTTCCAGGTAAGCTAGATTATTTTCAATCTTAATTTTCTGATGTGCATCTCAACTGTCTGTGGGTCACCATCCATCACACTTTCTAAGAGGAAAGTGACAGATTTTATCAAGATCACCAGTGTGTGGGGAAGAGTCACAGAAGCTAGCTGTACTGAAAATCACCCATACAATCAACCCCTCTATTAATAGGGCAGAGTATAGGTACAGGATGAGTCAAGCCTTGTTACCATGTGGGCCTTGAAATCCCGGAATTCAGACCGGTGAAATCTTTGATTCTGGCCATTTATCCAAACGGTCAGTACACCACTGTTACGTGCACTTTCATCACAGGTACTAGACAAGACACTGCCAGAAAGAGTGCTAGAAATCCAGACGAGGAAGTCTTGGGAGCCAGGAGGTGGTAGTCTGGTATTCTTGTTCTACTTGACAGGAATCTTAACATTTTTACAGAAACCTTTAAAAAGGTGGGGGGAGGGGGAGAGGCTTCTGTCGCAAGATGCCGTGTGAAGTAGACAAGATATCTTGACTGACATACCTTTACTACCCCTTTTTTTTTCCCTCTTGGCTATGTCAAGAGTGACGTCATTGTCGTCAGAGATGATATAGAGGGATATCCCTATTATATGCGGGTGCTGTCTGGGAAATTCCCAGTTTTGCTAGCCTGCAATTTCCCGGCACAGGGCAGCCCAGCATTTTCACATATTCATATAGAATTTGCTGCCAGCAAATTCCACAACGTCGCTGAAAAACCTGGCCACTAACAGAATCTCCGCTGGTAGACAGAATTGCTGGCCACTGACTTCAAGTCACTAGCGGTAGAGAGACGACAGGTAGTTTTGAAAAGACAACTTTAACTGTACTTCACGCAGCCTATAACCTTAGCATTTTGACCAAATTCATCCAAAAGTCGTATATCTAAATCCAGCTGCTGAAAAGCTAAGAACAGATTCCTTGTTCCTTGCGGCAGGATGAGCTTTCAGACACTGCCAGGCTGGTCGTAGGTGAGACTGAGGTGCCCTGTGGAAGGTCTTGGTCTTGGTGACTGGGACAGATCCAAAGTTTCACCAACTTCTCCGAGACGGATGATCCTCTGGGAAACCCCAGGTGCTAAATGTTGTTGTCCCAACAAATTCTCATTATCTCTCTCATGAGACGTTTTCATGTGACTATCATTTTTATCTTTCATGAAATCTATTTAGTTTCAGTAGTGTAGTTCAAAAGTAAATAGATGATCAGTATTGACTAATTTAAAAAACATCTAAATTTAAATTCATAGTTAAACTTTAGTTTTATTTCTAGATGTGTGTGGTGTCAGGTTAGCACTGTCCAAAAATAAACATATTCTAGATGGGGGCTTAATTTAGTGACCAGAAAGGGAAATTGTTGGGCCGGGTAATCTGCTCTAAGTCTTCTTTAGGCATCTAAATTCCCCTTTTCCCATTCCTGGTGATTTTCAGGCAGCTCACTTTCTTACCCGAGCTTATTTGAGTCTGTATCTGAGTATCCAGGGATACTGTCTGCTCTTTGCATTAACAGACAGCAGTACCAGTTTCTCACTTGCATTAGGAGGGAGGATTCAAACCCACACCCACCACCTCAGTGAGTATAAAAGAAACCTGTTCCACTGCAGGCAAGGAACCAACAGTCTGCATGGAAATGAGTTAGACCTGTGAAACAGATGTGCACACAGCAGTTTCTGGAACGGGACTAGAGTCCAGAAGTGGAAGAACAACCAAAACTTTCTGCCGGAGTTTACAGCCGGTGAAAGTGTAGAAAAAAAAAGAAGTATACCTCTCAACATTAAACACTGTTGTAAATCTCTCAACACTAAACACTGTTGTACTACATCTCTCAACACTAAACACTGTTGTACTACATCTCTCCACACTAAACACTGTTGTACTACATCTCTCAACACTAAACATGTTCTACCACATCTCTCAACACTAAACATGTTCTACCACATCTCTCAACACTAAACACTGTTGTACTACATCTCTCAACACTAAACACTGTTGTACTACATCTCTTAGCACTAAACACTGTTGTACTACATCTCTCAACACTAAACACTGTTGTACCACATCTCTCAACACTAAACATATTCTACCACATCTCTCAACACTAAACATGTTCTACCACATCTCTCAACACTAAACATGTTCTACCACATCTCTCAACACTAAACATGTTCTACCACATCTCTCAACACTAAACACTGTTGTACCACATCTCTCAACACTAAACATGTTCTACCACATCTCTCAACACTAAACATGTTCTACCACATCTCTCAACACTAAACATGTTCTACCACATCTCTCAACACTAAACATGTTCTACCACATCTCTCAACACTAAACATATTCTACCACATCTCTCAACACTAAACATATTCTACCACATCTCTCAACACTAAACATGTTCTACCACATCTCTCAACACTAAACATGTTCTACCACATCTCTCAACAGTAAACATGTTCTACCACATCTCTCAACACTAAACATATTCTACCACATCTCTCAACACTAAACATGTTGTACCACATCTCTCAACACTAAACACTGTTGTACCACATCTCTCAACACTAAACATGTTCTACCACATCTCTCAACACTAAACATGTTCTACCACATCTCTCAACACTAAACATGTTCTACCACATCTCTCAACACTAAACATATTCTACCACATCTCTCAACACTAAACATGTTCTACCACATCTCTCAACACTAAACATGTTCTACCACATCTCTCAACACTAAACACTGTTGTACCACATCTCTCAACACTAAACACTGTTGTACCACATATCTCAACACTAAACATGTTCTACCACATCTCTCAACACTAAACATGTTCTACCACATCTCTCAACACTAAACATGTTCTACCACATCTCTCAACACTAAACATGTTCTACCACATCTCTCAACACTAAACATGTTCTACCACATCTCTCAACACTAAACACTGTTGTACCACATCTCTCAACACTAAACACTGTTGTACCACATCTCTCAACACTAAACATGTTCTACCACATCTCTCAACACTAAACATGTTCTATCACATCTCTCAACACTAAACATGTTCTACCACATCTCTCAACACTAAACATGTTCTACCACATCTCTTAACACTAAACATGTTCTACCACATCTCTCAACACTAAACATGTTCTACCACATCTCTCAACACTAAACATATTCTACCACATCTCTTAACACTAAACACTGTTGTAACATCTGATCTCACTTTGTCTCGCAACAGAGCCGCAGCTTTGGTGTTATACTTTTCTTGCAGGCTCATGCTTTCTTTAAAGTCTGGTTGGGAGAGGAAAAACTCCTGGCACATTTTGTTGCCACCAACTTTCATCTTCTCCAGCTCGGAATCCTTCCACTTGTCCATGGACACAGATCGCACAAAGCTGCAAGCCAACGTCACAGATTTAACCTCAAAGAAACCAGCCAAACATGTCAGCAACATTCAAAACTATATTGTACATGTTTCAGTGAACCTGCCTCAGTCGACTCTAGGTAAGTGGCTCTCAACCGTCTTAATGTCGCGACCCTTTAATAACGTTCCCTCATGCTGTGGCAACCTCCAAACAATTATTTGCCTTCAAATCTTCAATGAATATGTGTTTTCCGATGGTCTTAGGCGGCCCCTGTGAAAAGGCCTTTCTGTCCCAAAAAAGGGCCGCGACCGGCAGGTTGAGAGCCGCTGCTCTAGGTCTTGGCAGATGGTAATGACTGACAGTTCTGTTAGTTTCAATCGCTGCCTTGTTACTTTTGCTTTTAATGTCAACCCAATATTTCCGACACCATCTTTGCTCTTAGTTTTAGTGTGTTCATGTTTTAAGAGCATACTTCTTGTTATGAGAACCAATCATGTTTCCAGCACCTTTCATGTTTTAGCACACTTCCGGTTTTCAGCACCCGTTATGCGCTGAGCAGCATATTTTCCTATAAACACACAGAATATCATGAATGGATAGACAAATTCATGAGGCAGTCATTGGAGAATCAGACAAGCAAGGTACACTGATAAGAGAGATGAGACGAGCACAGTACACTGATAAAAGAGATGAGACGAGCACGGTACACTGATAAGAGAGATGAGACGAGCACGATACACTGATAAGAGAGATGAGACAGTGCCGACTTACTGGGCTGGGTTTAATATGGGAGACAAACGGCAACATTCAGTGACAAGCGACAAATTTGACGGCAGGGTCCAGAGATAAATACATCGATGTCACAGCTGACATAGATCTGTTCAATGAATCTGTGACAAACTTGACGGCAGGGTCCAGAGATAAATACATCGATGTCACAGCTAACATAACTCTGTTCAATGACTCTGTGACAAATTTGACGGCAGGGTCCAGAGATAAATACATCGATGTCACAGCTGACATAGATCTGTTCAATGAATCTGTGACAAATTTGACGGCAGGGTCCAGAGATAAATACATCGATGTCACAGCTAACATAGATCTGTTCAATGACTCTGTGACAAACTTGACGGCAGTGTCCAGAGATAAATACATCGATGTCACAGCTGACACAGACCTGTTCAATGACTCTGTGACAAACTTGATGAAAGTGTCCATTGATATATACATCAATGTCCCAACTGATACAGATCGGTTCAAGGACTTTGATATACCAGATGGGAGGGGCCAGAGATAAATATATGGATGTCCCAGCTGACATAGATCAGCTCAGTGACGGACTTTTAGGGGTCATTTTCTCCTTCGTTGGTAGATTACCTCATAATCATAATCATTTAAGACAATTCGAATGGGTGGTATTAATTACTGAGCATAATATATGTGTAAATAAATTGAGTGTCAAATCAAGGCAAGTGTGAACTCTGTGCAGGTTGGCCGAAGCATGCCAAGCGAAGAATGTGAGAAGTTTTGAAGTTCACGAAGAAAAGGAAGAGGATATTTCAGTCATGAGAGAATGAAAGAATTTAGTCTTGTTTTCAGTCCTTGGACAGTGTTGTCTAGTTGCGCTGGAAGAATGAAAGCTAGGGGAATCTACAAGCAAGTGAATGACTGCTCAAGTGTCGGCCGTAGTTCCTGAGAAAACCTGGCCAACTTGTTTTCAGTCTGGGACAGTGTTGTCTAGTGGTGACAGTGTTGTCTAGTGGTGACAGTGTTGTCTAGTGGTGACAGTGTTGTCTAGTGGGACAGTGTTGTCTAGTGGGACAGTGTTGTCTAGTGGTGACAGTGTTGTCTAGTGGAACAGTGTTGTCTAGTGGTGACAGTGTTGTCTAGTGGAACAGTGTTGTCTAGTGGGACAGTGCTGTCTAGTGGGACAGTGTTGTCTAGTGGGACAGTGTTGTCTAGTGGGACAGTCTTGTCTAGTGGGACAGTCTTGTCTAGTGGGACAGTGTTGTCTTGTGGCGCTGCAAGAATGAAAGTTAGGGGAATCTACAAGCAAGTAAATGTCTGCTAAAGCGTCGACCGTGGTTCCTGAGAAAACCTGGCCATCTTGTTTAGCAAGATGTCTTGCAATGGCCGTACTTTGTCTGCTGTTCATGCCAGTGGTTGTAGGTGCAGCTTAGTGAGATCTGAGGTCTCAAGAGTGGGAAATGCTTTATTCATTCAGAAAATGATACATTCAATGTTCTATTTAACTACCCTAGACGCCCGACCTCTGGTGCATGGACCGAGGAACATTACTAGCAGAATAAAGGACAGTTTTCATCAGCTGTTGTGTGTTAATATTTTAAGCATCACAAGTTGAAGTATTTGTCAATGTGTCTGAGAAGACTGCATGATTTACAGCAAAGACAGTCACTGCACAGATGACTGTGTAGAACATGATTGCCCGCACTTGCTGGCAGGCCCAGGCTGATGATGGCTTCCCTGCATCATGTCTGTACATTTTCCAACACCACAAACTGGAGTTTTCTAGCATTCATAAAGGCCTAAACAAAAAGGCAACAGGTCTCTCGCATAGGAGAGCAGCAATCTCTCACACAGGAGAGCAGCAAGTCTCCCAGACAGGAGAGCAGCAAGTCTCCCACACAGGAGAGCAGCAAGTCTCCCACACAGGAGAGCAGCAAGTCTCCCACACAGGAGAGCAGCAAGTCTCCCACACAGGAGAGCAGCAAATCTCCCACACAGGAGAGAAGCAAGTCTTTCACATAAGACATCTTCAAGACTACCACATAAGAGAGCAGAAAGTCTCGCACACATGACAGCAACAAGTCTCCCACACAAGAGAGCTGAACATCTCCCACACAAGAGATCATAAAGTCTCCCACACATGAGAGCGACAGGTCTTTCACATAAGACAGCAAACATGTCTCCCACACAAAAGAGAAGCAAGTCTTTCACATTAGATGATAATTCTCCCACATAAGAGAGCAGAAATTCTCTGACATCTGACAGCAACAAGTCTCCCCCACAAGAGAAAAGCAAGTCTCCCCCACACACATAAGAGAAGCAAGTCACCCACACAGGAGAGAAGCAAGTCTTGGAAACTGGATACTGGATAAAAGCAAACAAAAATTTCAAACTTTGTCCTCATTCAGCTGCCCGAAGGCCCGCTTTATTGAAGAGGGTTTCTTTGCTATCTGATTTGAGTTTAATTCTTTGTGGCGATCATTTTCGCCTAAGTTTTGATTATTTGCAACATCATGTCAGCGTGGTCAGGCTTGGCGGCCAGTTTCCGGTTTTTGAGGGAGTGGAACTGGCAGCCCTCAAAATGGCTGCCATTTTTAGCCTGGGGCAGGGATGGGCGAGGTATCCTCTTGGCTGGCTTCTGCTGTCAGGTCTGGTGGTGTCCGAGCTTCTCCGTTTGGTGAGCTGTACGTAAAGATGGTGGCGTGGTTATTGGGCTATCTACAATGGCTGGGCTTTTGTGCAATCTGTCTTCTGCTGCTTTGGGCTGGTCTCTGTGGTTTAGTCTTGTGTAGCCCGTGGTTTGGGGGTGGCAGGGGTCGAGGTGGCCTGTGGTTTGGGGGTGGCCGAGGTCGACGTTGCCTGTGGTTTGGGGGTGGCGGAGGTCGACGTTGCCTGTGGTTTTGGGGGGTGGCAGGAGTTGCTGGGGGTCTTCTCAGCTGGTGACTTCAGGTGGTCTGGTAGCTCCAGTGCAATGTGTCTTTCAGGAAATCTACGCCTCTGTTCTGCGAGTGTAGAGCCTTGATCCAGGTATCATTGCTCCCATTTTTTTTCCTTTGCTTCTCGGTCCTCAAACCACTGTTTCCTGTTGCACATCCGATTAATTACTTGATCATGTTCAGCCTTAACACGATCGCTTTTAGCCTTGATAGCTGCCTGCCTGATAGCTTCCTTTTTGGTCCTCTCTTTCTCATAGAGCGTGTTTTTTAGTTTGCGTCACTTCAGTCTGCAGTTTGTCGTTGGCCTCCTTGAGTTTGGTCACCTCAGTCTAGAGTAGTTCCTGGCTTGCTCTAATTGCTTTGTAGCTGCTTTGCTCTTCTTCGGCTGCCTTCTCTTTTTTTGGGCCTGGATACATGACAGTACGGCCTTGATATCTGACTTGAACCGAGTCATGTCAGCGATTTCTGCCTCCATATGTTTCTGGGCCTTGAGTGTTTCTTGGATTATGTTTTGTAGTCCTGTCATCTCCTCTCTTGGCCCGTTTGACTTTAGATGCAGCAAGTAAAAAGTCCTCAAAGTTTTCCATAAATAAGAGAAGCAAGTCTCCCACACAGGAGAGAAGCAAGTCTTCCCCACAGGAGAGAAGCATGTCTTCCCCACAGGAGAGAAGCAAGTCTTCCCCACAGGAGAGAAGCAAGTCTTCCCCACAGGAGATAAGCAAGTCTTCCACACAGGAGAGAAGCAAGGCTTCCACACAGGAGAGAAGCTAGTCTTCCCACACAGGAGATAAGCAAGTCTTCCCACACAGGAGATAAGCAAGTCCTCCACACAGGAGAGAAGCAAGTCTTCCCCACAGGAGAGAAGCAAGTCTTCCCCACAGGAGAGAAGCAAGTCTTCCCACACAGGAGAGAAGCAAGGCTTCCACACAGGAGAGAAGCAAGTCTTCCCCACAGGAGAGAAGCAAGTCTGCCCCACAGGAGATAAGCAAGTCTTCCCCACAGGAGATAAGCAAGTCTTCCCCACAGGAGAGAAGCTAGTCTTCCCCACAGGAGATAAGCAAGTCTTCCCTACAGGAGAGAAGCAAGTCTTCCCCACAGGAGAGAAGCTAGTCTTCCCCACAGGAGATAAGCAAGTCTCCCACACAGGAGAGAAGCAAGTCTCCCACACAGGAAAGAAACAAGTCTCCCACACAGGAGAGAAGCAAGTCTTCCCACAAAGGAAAGAAGCAAGTCTTCCACACAGGAGAGAAGCAAGTCTTCCCCACAGGAGAGAAGCAAGTCTTCCCCACAGGAGAGAAGCTAGTCTTCCCCACAGGAGAGAAGCAAGTCTCCCACACAGGAGAGAAGCTAGTCTTCCCCACAGGAGAGAAGCTAGTCTTCCCTACAGGAGAGAAGCAAGTCTCCCACACAGGAGAGAAGCAAGTCTTCCCCACAGGAGAGAAGCAAGTCTGCCCCACAGGAGAGAAGCAAGTCTTCCCCACAGGAGATAAGCAAGTCTTCCCCACAGGAGAGAAGCTAGTCTTCCCCACAGGAGATAAGCAAGTCTTCCCCACAGGAGAGAAGCAAGTCTTCCCCACAGGAGAGAAGCAAGTCTTCCCCACAGGAGATAAGCAAGTCTCCCACACAGGAGAGAAGCAAGTCTCCCACACAGGAGAGAAGCAAGTCTGCCACACAGGAGAGAAGCTAGTCTTCCCCACAGGAGATAAGCAAGTCTTCCACACAGGAGAGAAGCAAGTCTTCCCCACAGGAGAGAAGCAAGTCTCCCACACAGGAGAGAAGCAAGTCTCCCACACATAAGAGAAGCAAGTCTCCCACACAAATGAGAGAAGCAAGTCTCCCAGACAAGAAAGCAACAAGTCTCCCACACAAGAGAGCAGTCTGTCATGTAGTTTGTTGGTGGTTACAAATGCTGCTCTGTGAACAACAACCAATCCCCACAAAGGCAACTCATGGAAGATTGGGCAGAGACTGACCACATCAAACAGCCAGTTACCCAGACAGGCCTGGCATCACTGGGCCAGTCTGTCACATCAGGATGGACACAGCCTCATTGCCCTGAGCTGTACACTATCATAGCCATCAAATACTGCAACCCAGACAACCAGGCACTGTCACAGATAACTCATATGTTAACTCTCAGGAGGTCCACAAACTGTCGGACATACCTCAGATGTACTCCCAGACTGCGATGTTTTCCTGAGCACTCCAGGCAGATCCAGATGCCATAGGTCACACTCACCCACTGAGGGTTGTGCATCCCACATTCAAAACAATTCTGAAACAGAACAAACTAACTGTCAAATAGAACAACAAAACAATTGTGAAACAGAACAATAAAACAACTGTAAAACAGAACAACAAAACAACTGTGAAATAAAACAACAAAACAATTGTGAAAAAGAACCCTAGAAAAATAATAATTCTGAAACAGAATAGAACAAAATTGTGAAACAGAACAACAAAACAACTGTGACAAAGAACAATAAAAATAGAACAACAAAACAATTATGAAACAGAACAACAAAATTATGAAACAGAAAAACAGACTAATTCTAGGCTAACCTCCGAATAATGGGCACTAAAGATGGTGGCCGCAAAATATCCTTTCGAGCCTCAGTCACGTGATTTAATTTGCGGTTCTCAGGCGGTTTTCCGGTGACTGCCGCCACCGCCACCAGGCCCCCATGCCGCTCATGCGGCTCGGATTGGGGCTAAATTAGATGGCTAGGACTCACAAGCAAAGCTTCAGGAGATGCGGAAGCTGCTGCTCGTGGGGTGCCCTCGTGGCGGTAGTCGCCGGAAAACTGCAGGAAAACCGCAAATTAAGTCGCCGGAAGTGCGCAATTGACACGTAACTGTGGCTCGAAAGGATATTTTGTGGCCGCCATCTTTAGCGCCCGTTATTCGGAGGATAGCCCTAATTCTAAAACAAAACAACAAAACAATTCTTTGAAAAAAAAAACCTGAAACACCCAATCCAGTTACTGAAGTTTCTGAGAGACCCTGCAATAAAGCGAACAATAAACCAGCTAGATAGTTACAGAAAAATACACCACAAAATACAACACCAGAGGCAGGTTGTGACAGATGATACTGTACAATAACTGACTGCAGACAATCAACACAAATGATAATGTACAGTAACTGACTGCAGACAATCAACACAGATGATATCGGCGATGGTGGAAGTCCGTAATTTACATGTGACTGAGGCCCTGTTAGGGTATATTTTTGGCCTCAATAATTTTGGACTTTATTCGGAAGAAAGCCACATATTAGCGACTACGGTGTTCGGCAATTTGCGGTCTTTTCGGGAATTTCCGTTACCCGGTAACCGTTCCAAACTTGTTTGGGAAATGTCGGCTGATTTCTGGATGGGTTCTAATCTCTTATGAAATTTTGCGATTAGTGTGATTTTACCAGCTATTAATAGCTGAAAACTGCGGAAACGAACCCGATTAACAGCACATGTCTACGACAGCCTGACGTGCTCTGTTTTTCTGTTACATCAGTTTGATTGAAAATAGCGGTAAGTATTCAAGGTTGGCTTTAGGCTTTAACATTACTTGACATGGTAATGCTAGTTATAATTGAATTCTCCGTCCAATTTCACATTTGTATATAAAATTTCTTTCTTATGTATGGCTTAGTCGATTTACAGTAGACATTTTTTCAGGCAATCGCTATTACTGCTGTGTCTAAAAAAAATTGTCTTGTGACTTATTGACCTTTAAACCATAACAGTTCTTAAATAATTCCTGTTTCTGGGATGCAAGCTTTAACAGCTGTTTGTTTATATCTCATTTCCACAAAAACCTAGATATCGCGGCTTAGAATTGACATACAAGCATAAATTAGGTACCGTTGGAAAGAGATTCTTTACAGCTATCTAACTGTGCTGGTTTTATTGGTATAGAAGCATTTTGAAAATTTGACCAAAATATCAGTATCAGAATATGTGGAGACGGGCTGTAAACAAAGATTATGAATGTGTCTTTCTTGAAATGTACGGAATTAAATATCAATATCAGAATGTGCCGACACCGGCTGTAAACAAAAAAATCTGACTAAATCTTAGACTTAACTCTGACTGAGTCTGCCTGGCCCTGGCACACCGCAGCAGACCACTTTAAGTTTAACTTTAAGATACAATTAATACAAACTTGCAAAATAGTTACACTTACGTTATTGCCGTCCTTTAATTTCAGGTCTTTTAGGACTCGCCTGGTTCTTGGACTTGCCATTTTTAAATTCTCAGTGGACTGATAATGATAAATTATTTCCAGACAACGGACACAGTTGGACGTGTTAGAGTAAAGACAACAGTGAGAACTAAGAGCAACTTCAGGCCAAGATGAGTTGTCAGGCGGCCATCTTGGTCTGCTGTATGTGACAGCTTCCGGTGGCCATTCTTGACATGGCCGGTGTTCGGAGAATTCTGTGTCGATGGTCACACTCAACTGACAGTTATGAGTTTACGGCACTCCGGAACCTTCCGTGGGTTCTCAGATTTCCCCTTCAACATATACATCAGCGTCCCGCGGTTGATGGTCCCAGTCCTTTGTTGGTTGACAAGACTTCTGGTGCATACGGTGTGCTTCTGGTGCCTGGCTGTGCTGATCTTTATTCCCAATTGTTGCACTCTTAGCAAAGATGTGGATATGCTGCTCCCAAAATCCTCTTAACGTCCTGGCTCTCTAATGGCATTAACAATGTCGGCATGATCCAATGGCTGGCCCTCTGTAACTAAAGCAAGGCTGGCTAATCTGACGGCTCTTTCATTGCCAACAACACCTTCATTCTCTGGGACAAAGATGAAGGTAACTCTGCGCACAGTAGAGTTCTGCAATGACTCGATCCACCGTATGTGTACAAAGCCTGCCTCGACCCGCTCGATCCTGTTCATGGAAACACTCAGCACACACACGTGAGAATAGCCCTGCGATGATAGCCAAATGAAAGCTTGTGTTACTGACATCACCTCCATCGTCATGCTGCTAGTAGTCAGACTGAAGGCACCACTTGCCTCCTGGACTGTTCTACCTGCAGAGTACGTTGTAATTTTCCATGTACTGTTTTGTGTCCTCGTACAACAGACCCATTGTGTAGATCAGTACGTCCGCATTTACATCATCTGAATTTTCATATGTAAGCTCATGGACCTCTGCATTCACAGCATCTGGATTCTGCTCCCGACAGCTCCTTTCAAGCGTGACAACACAGGAAAAGGTACAGTTGAGCACCTGGGGCACAGGTATCCATTCTGGCTGATGTCTGTAAGACTGCACTTGTATGATGTCCACCTCCGCCCTACCGAGCTATGATCTGCCCCTTTTTAGCCTCTTGCCCTGTTTCCTTAAACGTGAACAGTGTGCAGGAGGTGTTTCAAATCCGAGCTTATCTGTAGGTATGCACGAGTCCTCCAGATCTTCCTCCTAAGGTGCATTGTCGAAAAGTCAAGAAGATATCTCATTGCTAACTTGTGCACCCCAGAATAATGCGCATGGCTTCATTGTGCACAGTTTCCAGTCTTTCAATGTGAGTATCACTGACGGTGAGTATGGCCAAAGCATGTTCGATTGGAGAAAGAATCAGTCCATGGAACAGTAGCAGAAGCAGTCTCTGCTCCATGTTGGCGGTGGCTGGGACCCTCATCGCTGATAAGCCCTTACGAGCCTTAGTTATAACATAGTAGACGTGGTCTTTGAAGGACAGACTGCGATTAAAATTCACACCTAGATATGTCATCGGGTGTGTTCTCCTTAAAGCTATGTCGCTAACTTCCACCACTGGTAGGTCTGCCTTAACCGTATGCGTGTTCAAGGATTTGATTTGATTCAAGAACCGACATCGCAGCACTCGTTGCACTCCCATAAGCGCTCCGTCCCCATCTTCAGCAGCCAGCGAAGAGTTCTGATACTTATGGTGCCAGTAGCATTCTAATTAAACGTCCGTCTTGCCTTTCCTTTGAGCCTCGAGCATCTGCCAGAACCTCTCGTCACTCCCACCTGCATTAATCTCACCAGACTGTGGTGATCCATCTGCTCCTCCTAACTGTACACGCTCTCCCACAAAGCCCTAACCACGTCTGCCTTATCATGTATCAGTATTCCACCAAGTTGTGCACAGCCAGCCAGTCTGTCCGCCTGTTCATTTCCCAACACACCTGCGAACCCCGGTGAAAAAATCGAGACAATGCTCCTCATCCGTGTCCTCCGCAGCGAAGCATGCCACTCTGCATGAAGCATACCTGTTCTGATCTTTCTCAACATGCTTTCTGAATCAGTTACGATCACGATGTGTGTGTGTGTGTGTGTGTGTGTGTGTGTGTGTGTGTGTGTGTGTCGTGTTCTCTAGCCAGGTGAAAGCTGCAGTGACCGCCTCCACCTCCATTCTTAAGCTGGATGTTGTGGTGTTATATGCTAGGCTCTCCTTCACCAAACGTCGACCAATAACTTTTGCTAAGAAGCTCTAAGCACTTCTTTTGCCACTTGACACTGAACCGTCTGTGTAAATGATAAAATACTCTGAGCGAGCATTAATTATCTTGAATTAATTGCTGAATTTCCATTTCCGTGGCACCTGCTGGCCAGTCTCTGCATTCCCAGCTCAGTGTGATTATGACTCTACATAAGTCTGACTGTTTAGATGGCACTTTGACCCATTCCTCTCCTCGACTAATGTTCTCAAGGATGCAAACCCGTCTCCCCCGTGTGAGTTCCGGGGCCCCAATGTGGGGAAAACAAGAATAGACCCACTGCCTCCCCAAAAGCATGTCGTAAGAGTCGACTAATTGGGGAGCTTCCTTTGAAGCCGGAGTGCATCTGCCGGAGAGGCGAGGAACCAACAGTCTGTATTCAAGAGAATGAGATCTGTAAAACTGATGCACACGCAACACTCAGGTTCTGGAGCAGGACTGCAGTTCAGTAATGGACGAGCAACCAGAACTTTCCGCCAGAGTGTACAGCTGGTGAACGCGAAGAAGAAGACAAACCTGTCTGATTGTGTCTTCTGCCTGAGCCATCCATGACTTCCCTCTTATCAGCCGCTGACCATTAACTGCACCCAGAGCTTCATGCAAAGGATGGTCAGTGTCTGCAGCTACCCTAAGATATGACTTCGCCTGCAGCACATGCAACAGTCGGCAAACCAAGGATGTATCGCATACACACCACTGGGGTGTCTCTGGTGCAACCCAGAATGACATGCATAACTGCGTTCTGTATGCGCTCTAGTTTGTTCATCTGATTGTTTGAGACGGTAAACACTTCCAGGCTACATACTATGCGGTCGTCTGTTTCAGTTTCTGTGGCTACACCGGAAATTCCTGGAAAAGGTCAGGCAGTTGCATGTAAACTTCGCTAGCACAGCTACAGACAGCCGATCTCTGGTGGCCAACTTGTTGGCGTCCTTCTCTAGTCACTGCACAATGGCAACAGCCGACGAGAACAATGTCATCAGTTCTATGAAGGTAACCCTGACATCTAGCCACCTATATCTGACTTGATTCATGTACATACATTTGAACGTTAGTAAAAGTATCTCGTTAATTAACTTGAACTGGTTTAACAGAACCCTCGTACAACGAACACAATTTTGGCCACAGCAGACATGTTAGTATTACTATTGGTTCCCGTTTAGGAGGAACAATTATTGTAACATGAATTCTAAATGTTTGTGGTCCGTTAAATTCATATTAACGAGGTTTTACACTTGAGTTCTAAGTGGGACGTTCACTGGGCCTGTCTACATACAGACATTCGAATGGGCCCGCTAACAAGGTCACTAGTACTCCTGACATCATACATGGTTCTGAGTTTCTTCCAGGCTGTCAACACACTGTGTCTGCTGTCAACACACTGTGTCTGCTGTCAACACACTGTGTCTGCTGTCAACACATTGTGTCTGCTGTCAACAGGCTGTGTCTGCTGTCAATAGGCTGTGTCTGCTGTCAACACACTGTGTCTGCTGTCAACACACCATGTCTGCTGTCAACACACCATGTCTGCTGTCAAAACACCATGTCTGCTGTCAAAACACCATGTCTGCTGTCAACACACCGTGTCTGCTGTCAACACACTGTGTCTGCTGTCAACACACTGTGTCTGCTGTCAATACACTGTGTCTGCTGTCAACACACTATGTCTACTGTCAACACACTATGTCTACTGTCAACACACTGTGTCTGCTGTCAACACACTATGTCTACTGTCAACACACTGTCTGCTGTCAACACACTCTGTCTACTGTCAACAACACACTGTGTTTGCTGTCAACACACTGTGTCTGCTGTCAACACACTGTCTGCTGTCAACACACAGTGTCTGCTGTCAGCACACTGTGTCTGCTGTTCAATATATGGCAGTGATGCTACAGTATTCAGCTTATGCTCACATGCAGGAAGAAGCAAGGGCACTTTGATCATCTAGTGTTTCTGTGTGCAGGTTCATCCCAAGTTTCTGGAGTCTAATGCCACAAGCCACACTTGGCCACTTGCTGCTTTTGCCGAACTCATTGGTAAGATTGTCTCTCTCACATTTAGTGGCAGGCATGTTTGGTTTAGGGATAAGATTGTCTCTCTCACATTTAGGGGCAGGCATGTTTGGTTTAGGGGTAAGATTGTCTTTCTCACATTTAGGGGTAGGCATGTTTGGTTTAGGGGTAAGATTGTCTCTCTCACATTTAGGGGCAGGCATGTTTGGTTTAGGGGTAAGATTGTCTTTCTCACATTTAGGGGCAGGCATGTTTGGTTTAGGGGTAAGATTGTCTTTCTCACATTTAGGGGCAGGCATGTTTGGTTTAGGGATAAGATTGTCTTTCTCACATTTAGGGGCAGGCATGTTTGGTTTAGGCAGAGTAATAATTTTTTATACTCTAGTGCAAGTTTATTTAGACAAGACAATTCACACTACATTTAAACAACAACAAAAAAAGAAATAAGGAACTAATAACAAACTCTGCCCAGTGACATACTAGTTAACCTGTCAGTGATGATTGGTCAGGTTGGTCTACGTTAGAGGGGTGTGGAATGCACTCTCTCATAGGACCTAGGTTCAGTATGAGGGGTTTGGGTTAGGGCCAGTTGTACATGTTATGAGGTCATTAAAACCGCTCACATTTTGTAATATAGAGCATGTGTGGTTGCCGGTAAGACCATCGAGTCAATACAACCTTGCACCATGCTGACATCTCTGTCACCTAACACCCATGAATGAATGTCCAATGACAGTGTCCTGGGCAAACTTTGTCACTAATAAGTGTGTAGCTGGGTGGAACTTGGCCTGAGTTTGTTACATGTTCCAGTAATAATTACACTACAGAAGGGTGGGAGAGGAGGAGGGTATTTAGATAAGGTAATAGTGACAAGACCACACCTGTATCTGCCCCACATGTTAAGAAACCAGTATCTCCATACACCAGATCTAATTATATTTATCAGTTTACATATAACTCTCAGTTAACTTACATTGGTAGAACGGAGAGACAGTTTAAAAACAGAGTGACAGATGATACCCCTAAATGGCTGCACACACAACTGAGGGCAGATCCTGCTCAAAATCGGCCAAGAAGAGAGAACCTAATTTTTCCACAGGACACCTTTTGCTTGACTTTGGACACCCAGTTATTGATATTGGCTTCAGGATTATTTACCACACCGAAAAGACTTTTATCAAAACTAGTTGAGGCCTTGTCAATAAAACTGAACTCTCCTGTTGTATGTAAGTAAAAATTTCAGGTCATAAATTTGAAGTTACCATGGTAATCATGTGGCTGATCTTGAATTTCTGGGAGAAATATGTACAGCCAAACTTGACAATGTCAACAATATGTTAAATGAAACTGAAAGTCTCACAGCGTTTAGTCTCTCATATGGCACTGATGTATCTCTCCTGTCCGTAGATGATCCCTTTCAGATAGTTGCACTGCCAGCCAGAGCATCTGCAATCTCATTGCCTTTCACACCAGCATTTTCTGGAACAAAAAGAAGGTGATTTTGCGAAACAGTGCGTGCTGTATCAGGTGGAGCCACTGTTTCCATATACATCCCATCTGGATCTTCTGTAGCATGATCATTGGGTCTCTGAACAAACATGCATCGGTGAACACCTGAGTATTCAGCCATTCTAGGGCATTTGTTACAGTTATAACTTCCATTGTCATGCTTCTGGTGGTAGAAGCAAAGGCTCCACTGTCTTCTCCGATGACTTTTCCTTTGGTTCTTGCCTTGAAAGCCCATGCATTTGGCTTCTGACAAATCACAGAACCATATGTATATATATAACAGCATCTTCCCGTGATGTGTGTTCCTCAACCAATGCTTTCACTTCTGCGTCAACTATTGGTATTGCCAAATCACGGCACTGTCTTGTCAGGGTGATAACCACCACAAAGTACTTCTTGTATTCGTTTGGTATGAGTATCCATTCCTCTCAACGGTTTATGTCTTGAAGGGAAGTCACCTATTGAAGTACTGTCTCTGCATGGCCCAACCGAGACTGGCCTCATTGAAGTACTGTCCCTGCACGGCCCAACCAAGACTGGCCTCATTGAAGTACTGTCTCTGCACGGCCCAACCAAGACTGGCCTCATTGAAGTACTGTCTCTGCACGGCCTAACCAAGACTGGCCTCATTGAAGTACTGTCTCTGCACGGCCCAACCAAGACTGGCCTCATTGAAGTACTGTCTCTGCATGGCCCAACCAAGACCGGCCTCATTTAAGTCTGTTGCCTTTATGTGTGTTCAGTTCATTGTGCAGTAAATGTGTAAACACCCTAGTGATTCTGAGGTAGGCACACTCATGCACATTTCAAGCCTGCTGTTTGCATCTTGAAGATCTAGTAGGTGTCTCACTGCTCTACATGAGATGTCTTTGGTGCAGCCAAGTATGATACGCATTGCTTTATTTTGTGCGTTTTCCAGTCTGTCAGTTTGTGTCATGCTGAGGGTGCGGATTGCCAGTGCATATTCTATGACAGAAGGACCAAACCCTGATAGAGGATGACTAGCAGCCTTTGTTGATCATACACATGACAGCCATAACTCTCATTGCAGCCAACCCTTTCTGGCCTTGTTGATCACAGTGATTACTGATTACTGATTCAAGAATTGACATTATAGCACATTGGGCACACCCATAGAAGCAAATGCCTTAAGGTGTAGATGCTATCTGTTCCTGTAGCACACTGATTATACACACATTGTTCTCTTCTTCTCATCCGTCCCTCCTTGCTGGATTCACACTTAATTCCTCGTTCACACATTCTTGCCCATGTTATTTCATCTAATCTCATGTCATCTGTCAACAGTTGTTCACATATTCTTGCACATGTTATATCATCTAATCTCATGTCATCTGTCAACAGTTGTTCACATATTGTCTTCAGAATATCTTCCTTGTCCAGTACAAGCATTTCCGTAGCTTTCGCTTTTTTTAAAGCCAGAAAATCTGCTCTTTCATTCCCTTGCACTCCTGCATGTCCCGGACAGTATATCCACGTGATTCCCTGCAATGTTGGCGAACTGATGCATGGTATCCACTCATGTCACATGAGTCCATTTTGAACCTTCCACAAGCCGACTGAGAATCAGTCACAATAATTCCTCTGGTAATTTTGTTTTCTGCTATCCAATTCAGAACTGCAAAGATCGCCTCCACTTCCATTCTCATGCTTAAAGTTGTGATTTAAAAAAAAAGCTCCATATTTTATGCCATAATTTTCCCCTTCATTCTAGTTGAAAATCCCCACCCAGATCTTATACCCCGATGAACAGAACCATCGGTGTACACTACTGCATCATCTAGTCCAGCCTTTTCATCTATCAGTTGTCGTACCTCTAATTCTGCCGTACCGTTACACCACTCTCTACATTCTCTTCCTAAGGTGATAATGACCTGATAGAAACAGCTGTTGTGGGTGTTCGTATTGACCCATTCCTGCCACCTATGTATTTGCTTGACCAAAGCCGCCGTTCCGATGGTATATTCAGCTGGTGCCGTCCATGACTTTCCTCTTTTCAATCTGTCTTCTCTTAAATCGTTAAGATTACCATGCAGTGAATGCCTTTCATCATTTGTAACTTGCATATAGGCCTTGGCTTGTGCCAAAGACAGTCTAGACTTTACCCATGTCAGCCCAAGCATATGCCTCATTGTTCTGACTGGGGTATCTTGTGTGCAACCGAAGACGATTCTCATTCCTTCATTTTGAATCCTTTCAAGCTTTGTACACTGTGAAGTAGATAGGATTAATATTCCTAGGCCATAATCGATTATAGAAAGGACCAAAAAGTTGAACAATAATCTCTGTTCCATGCGTGTCGCCGCCAGGCTCACATGTGATCACAGTCTGCTCCATGTGATATCTGCGGGACAGACTGAGATCAGTCGACAAACCTAGGTATTTCAGCTTATCTCTTCTTTCAACATCAATACCCTTCATGGATATGCTGGGCCAGTCTTCCTTTCCAGTGCTGTTATTTAATTAGCAACACAAAACACTGGCCTTCTCTGGGTTAACCCTTGACTGTGTCAGTTCACACCACTCTGTCATCTCATTCAAAGCCCTTTGCAAGTCTCTGGTCATGTCCTGCCTGTCTGACCCGCTTTGATACATTAGGACATCATCTGCAGATGTCAAAGTTCGCCCTGGTCCAGCAGGCTTAATTTTTGCCAGACTTGGTGTTTATTTGCTAAACAAGACAGGTGACATTGGTGATCCACGAGGAAGGCCAGGGCAAATGCATATTGGATCTGATCTCTATGTTCTTTCCAGCAATCCTTCATTGAAGCTTTTTTAAATAAATCTATCATTCGATTGGCTTTCATTGCTGAGTCCAGTGTTGAAGAAAAAAAATCCTTCAGGTTTGAGAAATGAAGAAGTTTGGCTGTTTGGAGATCCGTTACAAACAAAGGCAGCTTATCTTGAAAAGCGTTTAATTTTTCAACCAGATCAATGATTGACTTGTGTCTTCCTTGCAGTTGCAAGTTCATTCATTCATTTATCATTAGCACCTTTCTGTCTTTCCAGACGATAGTGTTATATTGTGCTATGAGAAGGCATGAGACTCACAGCCCATGGCCATGGTGAGTGTGACTAGCAAGACCCGCCCGTGTCAAGAAAAGTCTTCCACAATGATAGCATGGGATTTCAGGACCATTGTTGTCAACATTTGTGTTTAATCCGTTTCTTTTCAGATGCTCAGCTCTCATCCTTTCTGCAATAACTTTTTCCATCAGTCTTTCCCTTCCTAATATGCCCTTTCCACACAACACGGTCCCTGGCATTTTGCTCCCACGAGTTCCTTGCAGTTGCAAGTTCAGTGTGTTCAAATGAGCAAACAAATCATTTAAAAAGCAAACATTTGCCAAAAATGCACTGTAATACTTTCCTTTCCTTTACTGCCTTGTTATGAGAACAGTTTCCAAGAAAACACTATTTCTTTTTTGATACTCCAAAAACGATCAAGTACTTTCCCTTTACTCAGCCAATGAACATCATTGTTTAGAAGTAAGACTTTTTAATCTGCTTCCGTTTCTTCAAGTAACTGCTCAAATAACCGGTGCTAAAGACTTGATTAGGATCTAATAAAATTTATTATTTTCATTACCATATTCATTGTTTCCTTCATCTCGTCGCTCAGTTTGCTCCACAGAACACTTTATTGGATAAGACAATGTAGCGAATGTATCTGAGGTGCTACTGCAGAAAGTCTGGTGAAACACATTGGTGCTTAATTTCGATTCAGGGTATCATCGAAGTATCTGACATAGGGATTTGCTTAACTACATGTGCCACACTTGTTTTTATTTTATCATCAATTGCTATTTTGTCCAGCATTGCTAGTATGCATTCTTTTACGGTTTCTGAGTCAGTGAAAAGCCGCTTCTTTTTGGCTATTATCCACGAAACATGCAAAGAAGCTGATGTAGCTTTTTCTTCCGCTATTACCAAATACAATTAAACACATGACACTTGGTGCTTACACAGCACAGGAGGGTCTGAGCACAGTGCACGTAACTCTGTAGCATATGCCAGGATCCTGCAGACAGCAAAACCACAAAAAATTACTTCATACTAGACCAACAGAATCAATTTGTTTCGGTAAATGACAGTGGCTCCGCCGCCAACTTACGTGACGTCTTGGTTGTTATCTGTTATGTATATATTGATTTAACTCTGTAATAATACACCTGAGGACATACAGAGAAAAATGCCTGGCAATCATTTGTGCAAAGTCTTGTTTGTGTTTGCATTATTTCAATTTCAATTTGTTTAAACAAGTTAATAATTGACACTATAGAGGCGGTTTGTTTAGATAAGGCAATAATTGACACTGTATTGAGGGTTTGTTTAGACAAGGTAATAATTGACACTGTAATGAGGGTTTGTTTAGACAAGGTAATAATTGACACTATAGTGGAGGTTTGTTTAGACAAGGTAATAATTGACACTAGAGTGGAGGTTTGTTTAGACAAGGTAATAATTGACACTATAATGAGGGTTTGTTTAGACAAGGTAATAATTGACACTATAGTGGAGGTTTGTTTAGACAAGGTAATAATTGACACTAATGTGGAGGTTTGTTTAGAAAGGTAATAATTGACACTATAATGAGGGTTAGTTTAGACAAGGTAATAATTGACACTATAGTGGAGGTTTGTTTAGACAAGGTAATAACTGACACTGTAATGAGGGTTTGTTTAGACAAGGTAATAATTGACACTATAGTGTGCATTATTTAGACAAGGTAATAATTGTTGACACTATGGGAAATGGGCTGATGGTTATTTAGATAAAGTAATACATGATTATATCTTGGTTTCATGAAATGCTGAATTCTCCTCTCTGTGTAGAGGTATGTACAAGAGATGTTCTTGTGTGTACAAGCTGATCACTTTAGTTTGTATACAGATGTTCTTTTAAGTCCAGGTTGACTCGTCTTGTTTGTTGACAGATAATGCCTTTGATGCTAAAGCTAAAGAAGTCCAAATTGACCTGCTGACCTTACAAAACACCAGATGTTTGTCTTTTCAGGACGATGGACGGGGGATGGACGCAGACCATCTTCACAACATGCTGAGGTTTGTTTCTACAACTGAGCACTTAACTAACCACATGACAGCCAGTACCTAGCCAAACAACCACATGACAGCCAGTACCTAGCCAAACAACCACATGACAGCCAGTACCTAGCCAAACAACCACATGACAGCCAGTACCTAGCCAAACAACCACATGACAGCCAGTACCAAACAAACCAACCACATGACAGCCAGTACCAAACAAACAAACCACATGACAGCCAGTACCAAACAACCAAACCACATGACAGCCAGTACCTAGCCAAACAACCACATGACAGCCAGTACCTAGCCAAACAACCACATGATAGCCAGTACCAAACAACCAAACCACATGACAGCCAGTATCCAGCCAAACAACCACATGACAGCCAGTACCAAACAAACCAACCACATGACAGCCAGTACCAAACAAACAAACTGCATGACAGCCAGTACCAAACAAACAAACCGCATGACAGCCAGTACCCAGCCAGCCAACCACATGACAGCCAGTACCCAACAAACCAACCACATGACAGCCAGTACCCAACAAACCAACCACATGACAGCCAGTACCCAACAAACCAACCACATGACAGCCAGTACCCAACAAACCAACTACATGACAGCCAGTACCCAACAAACCAACCACATGACAGCCAGTAACCAACTGACTAGTCACACAGCAGTTAGGAAACAGCACAGTGTAACAGCATATACAAACAGTACACTGTAACTGTATATAGAAACACCAGAGTATAATTGTATATAGAAACAGTATGGTGTAATTGTATATATAAACAGCACAGTATATCTGTGTGAAACAACAGTGTAACTGTATGAAACAACATAGTGTAACTGTATGAAACAACATAGTGTAACTGTATGAAACAACATAGTGTAATTGCATATAGAAACATCAAAGTATAGTTGTGCAAGTATATAAAACAGCACAGTGTAACTGTCTCTAGAAACAGCACAGTGTAGGTGTATATAAAAACAGGACTTTATATATATATATATATATATATATATATATATATATATATATATATATATATATATATATATATATATATATATATATATATATATATATATATATATATACACACACACACACAGCACAATGTAACTGAATTTAAAAACAGCAAAGTATAACTATATATAGAAACAGCACAGTGTAACTATAGAAACAGCACATTACACAGTATACCTGTATATAAAATCAGCACAATGTAACTATATAAAAACAGCACAGTGTAACTGTATATAGAAATAGCACAGTGTAACTGTATATAGAAACATCACAGTATAAATATATAGAAACAGCACAGTGTAACTATATATAGAAACATCACAGTGTAACTATATAGAAACAGCACAATGTAACTGTATATAGAAACATCACAGTATAACTATATAGAAACAGCACTGTGTAACTGTGTATAGAAACAGCACAGTGTAACTGTATATAGAAACAGCACAATATCACTGCAGGTTTCTCTGTTGATATGTCTTTGCTTATATCGCTAGCTTTGGCTACTCTGAAGCCCATGAGAGACATCATGTTGGAATGTATGGAAATGGGTTCAAGTCTGGCTCTATGCGTTTGGGTAAGGATACCATTGTGTTAACGAGGACCGCTGACAGCGCTGGGGTAGGACTTACACTGTTCCCTGTTATATCCCAGAGTTATCTACGGGCTGTTGTTGCATGCTCAGGGGTGGGGGGGGTGGGGGGGTAGGGGGGTGGTCCATGGGGGCATGCTATTACAAGTTCCCTGGTTATATGGGGGGGGTGGGGGGGGGGGGGGGGGGGGGGAGGGGGGTTGGTACCATTGTGTGCTTATGTATGTGTGTGTGAAAAAGAGTGTGTGTGTGTTAGAGGGGGGGGTGGGGGTGGGGGGGGGGGGGGGGGGGGGGGGGGGGGGGGGGGGGGGGGTGGGGGTGGGCGGGGGGGGGGGGGGGGGGGGGGGGGGGGAAAGGGTGTGGAAAGTGTGTGTGTGAGACAGAGCGGAAGAGAGAGAATCACCACTTGTAAACACATATAAGTGTGAATGTGCGTAAATTGCCGCTGATACTCATATGAATAGTTGTAGTCTGTGTATGAATCACAAATGACGCTCATGGGAAAACATATCATAGTATGTGGGTGTGTGTGTGAATCACAGATAAACCTCATGGGAAAACTTATATCATAGTCCTCCTGCGTGTATGTGTGTGAATCACAGATAACACTCATGTAAAAACATATCATAGTATGTGGGTGTGTATGTGTGTGAATCACAGATAACACTCATGTGAACACTAATATTGTGTGTGTGAATCACAAATGACTCTTATATGAACACTTTTTCATAGTCTGTGTGTTTGAATCACAAATTATACTCATGTGAACACTTATATCATAGTCTGTATATGTGTGTAAATCACATATGGCACTTATGTGAAAACTTATATCAAAGTATGTATATGTGTGTGTGTATCACAAATGGCACGCATGTGAACACATATCATAGTCTGTGTGTGTATCACAAACAACACTTATGTGAACACTTTTCTCATAGTCTGTATTTGTGTGTGTGTATCACAAATGGCACTCATGTGAACACTTATACCATTGTATATGTGTGTGTGTATCACAAATGGCACTCATGTGAACACTTATACCATTGTATATGTGTGTGTGTATCACAAATGGCACTCATGTGAACACTTATACCATTGTATATGTGTGTGTGTATCACAAATGGCACTCATGTGAACACTTATACCATTGTATATGTGTGTGTGTATCACAAATGGCACTCATGTGAACATTTATATCATAGTCTCTGTCATCAATGTATTGTATTGTTGTCTAGTATGTTCTCCCATTGTTGTATTGTTGTCTGATGTGTTCTGCTGTTGTTGTATTGATGTCTATAATTAACAATTGATAAACAGACTTGCACAAAGTTTTCTCGAAAACTGCCTGTAAGATTGCAATGATTTTTTTTTGCATGCAGCCTCTAAATATCTATGATGCAAAAATAGTGGTATTCTTTAGTTCATAAATACTCAGGATGCTGAATATCAGCCAATTCCTTTGATCTTTTCGAACCATTGTAAATAAGTAAAATGAACTTTCAGATACCACAGTAAACATCAGAATTTCCATCTAAAGCTCCACCTATACAATATAATATTCTACCAAGGCGGTGTCACATGGAAGGGAACTCCTTACTGTCTTATTTCACTGGTATTCTTACGCCTCCTCGCGTCGTCACCCAAGACAGATTCTTCTCCTTGATTACGTGCCCTCGCTTCGGGTCACCATAACCGATACATGATAACTGATTAGAGACTCAGCCCCAGGCTACAAGTCTCTCGACACACAGTTGCATCAGAATCGTCACGAGGCACTACACAATGCCATCCTCGCAATTCCGCCACAATTTATCACTCGACCTCTGTCAGCCTTGTGGCAAATACCATGCTAGGCAGTTCTGCCACAATTCATTGCTCGACTTCTGTCGGCCATTGGCAAATAACATGTTGGGTCCTCCATTCCTTGTCTCCACAAAAAACTCACAACGGGAGCATTTTGACTCATACACCAAATTCTAATGCACAAAGTAACTATTACTGAACTAACATGCTACACATAATTACTGCTAAAAGTTCACAGACAACTGAACATGCGTCTGCACGGTCGGACTAGCTGAGAGGCACTGAAATTAACACCCAGGACCAGCTCTTAGCTCAGCGCTCTGGACCACGCATGGTTGGACTGGCTGAGAGGCACTGAAATTAACACCCACGGCCAACCCTTAGCTCAGCGCTCTGGACCACGCATGGTCGGACTGGCTGAGAGGCCTTCAAATTAACACCCATGACCAACCCTTAGTTCAGCGCTCTGGACCACGCATATTTCTCACTAAGCTTGTGTAAACCACTGTTAGTCGTGATTCTCCAGGAAAACTTCTTCCACAACTTTGTGCTCCTCAAGAACCTTTGCACTCGTCTCTCATCTCAAGCCACATGGACCCCCTTTGCCCACGTCTCTGTCACCATCATCATCCTGTGCCTTACGACTGGCGTAGGCGATCACGCCTCTGAACAGCCCAGTGAATTTAGCATACAACACTTTCCTCTGAGTGTAATGTGCCGGCCAGGCCTTGTGGTCACACCCAGGTGTATAATTCTCTCCAGGCTATGATAATATATTTTGTCATCTGAATTCTTTACTTGTTCCTAAAGGGTCTTGACCACATCTGCCTGTCATGAATCAGTTTACCACATAGTGATGCAGATCCAGCCAATCTGGCTACCTTGTTCAATTGTCAACATGACCCCAATTTGCAACAGTTAGTATATTCCGCTTCGGTCACCATTAGACTCAGGGTGTATCTTAAATGTATAGCAAATTGTATTATGGTTGACACATTTGGATGTGGAGATGTGTTAGTTGCAATTTTAGATGTTCCTAATGGGTTGATGACATTCAACCACTCATCAAAAAATGATTTTAATCATTTCAAATCTGAGGATCCCAAAAGGTTAATAATTGTTACAGGCAGAACAAATTGTAATCCATCTGGGTGCCGGTACTGTGCTCCTCATGCAGCACATTCTCAACACACATTTTCTAGAAATGAATGTCTGTTGTTGAGAGGCACTCATGTCTTAGAACCTTAACATCACACATTTTAAATTTACTGTTATTTTCTGCAACTTATCTTTTAACTGTAGCTCATACAAGCTCTCTCGGGTTGAGCTGTCAATGATATGCAGGGGGTCGCAGAGAAGTGTGGCCTTATTCATTAGGGATTTTGTCATGTGATACACCTGCGTCTTATTTGCTTTCCTTACAAGCTGCAACAACTCTGCCTTCAAATTTGTATTGTTAAGTTGACTTTCTCCTCAGCAAGCCGTGCCCTAATTTGATCCTTTGTATTTGATGTCATTGGTACTTTGTCTTCCTCTTATAGGCTTCGCAGAGAAGTGTGGCCTTATTCATTAAGGATTTTGTCATGTGATGCACCTGCGTCTTTTTTGCTTTCCTCACAAGCTGCAACAACTCTGCCTTCAAATTTGTATTGTTAAGTTGACTTTCTCCTCAGCAAGCCATGCCCTAATTTGATCCTTTGTATTTGATGTCATTGGTACTTTGTTTTCCTCTTATAGACGGCATTATCCATTACAAGGCATGATGGTCAGTCCAGAATTGGAAAAAGATCATTCTCAATCCAGTCCCTGGAATATCCTTTTTCCATACTCACCGTCAGCGATGCTCAAATTGAAAGACTGGAAAAGGTGCACAATGAAGCCATGCGCAAGAGACACCTCTTGAGCAGCAATGAGATATCTTCTTGACTTTCCAACAATGCACCATAGGATAAGGATCTGGAGGACCCGTGCATACCTGAAGATAAGCTCGGATTTGAAACACCCTCTGCACACTGTTCGCGTTTAAGGAAACAGGGCAAGAGGCTAAAGAGGGGCAGATCATAGCTCGGTAGAGCGGAGGTGGATATCATACAAGTGCAGTCTTACAGACATCAGCCTCGGCGAAGAATGGATACCTGTGCCCCAGGTGCTCAACTGCACCTTTTCCTGTGTTGTCACGCTTGATAGGATCTGTCGAGAGCAGAATCCAGATGCTGTGAATGCAGAGGTCCATGAGCTTATATGTGAAAATTCAGATGAGGTGGATGCGGACGTACTGATCTACACAATGGGTCCGTTGTACGAGGACAAAAAAGTACATGGAAAATTATTACGTGCTCTGCAGGTAGAACAGTCCAGGAGGCAAGTGGTGCCTTCAGTCTGACTACTAGCAGCATGACGATGGAGGTGATGGCAGTAACACAAGCTTTCAAGTGACTATCATCGCAGGGCTATTCTCACGTGTGTGTGCTGAGTGTTTCCACGAACATGATCGAGTGGGTCGAGGCAGGCTTTGTACACATACAGTGGATCGAGTCATTGCAAAACTCTACTGTGCGTAGAGTTAGTTTCATCTTTTTCCCAGGGTATGCGGGTGTTGTTGACAATAAAAGAGCTGACAGATTAGCCGGCTCTGCTTTAGTTACAGAGGGCCGGCCATTGGATCATGTCGACATTGTTAATGCCATTAGAGAGGCAGGACTTTTAGAGGATTTTGGGAGCAGCACATACACATCTTTGCTAAGAGTGCAACAATTGGGAGTAATGATCGACACACCCAGGCACGAGAAGCACACCGGACATATGAGAAGTCTTGTCAACCAACATAGGACTGGGACCATCAACCCCAGGACGCTGATGTATATGTTGATGAGGGAATCTGAGCACCTATGGACGTGTCCGGAGTGCCGTGAAGATAACCCAAATCATAACTCATAACTCATTCTCTGGGTCATGAAAATCACAATATAAATGACCCATCTTAGATTCCCTGAGGAAGTGCTGCTACAGGAAAATGGTAACCTTCTGCAGTGTTGTAAATTTGCATCTTAAATTCATTTTGAAATTGATATCTGTGTCAGCTTTTATAAGTTAGCTATATGACATAGTATTAATTTATGGATACACATTTGACTAAACAAGCTTGACCAACATCTTATTTTGCTTTCAGGTCACTAACAGTGTGACTTTGTGTTAAACCAATCATTGTGTGCATTACTTCATGAAACTAATGAAAGTAAACCTTCTACAAGTCTACCAAGACGGTTTCATGATAAAAATGTATATTGTAAAGAAGAAAATA